AACGACGCCTTTTGCGCACATAATTAAATCAGACAAAGCGTAGCTCATGTAAATCCCGCCAGCCGGGTCCAGCCCATTTCGTCCCATCCCAATCCCCAATCCCCAATCCCCATCCCACAGCCTCAGAGACACCAGCCACATCGCCTCATCGCCACCGGATGCTGAGCCAGAAATGCAGCTTGACTATTTTTAATTACCGGGCAACATCTGCTCCATCTTGAGCTCCAGCTGCCATCCGATGTGGGGTGGCCTTCAGAGGTGGGCAGTGTGCGAAATTTTACCCAGGTGGGGTACAATAAAAAAAGCTAAATAAAAAAGTGCATATGCTCACCTAATATAAAAATAATAAAGGATTGTTTTTAAATAAACAACGTAATTAAAAAATACTCCTTTTTTTAAACATTTTTAGAGGTTTTCAACGAGAGTTGAAAATAATTGTCTCCATTTCTGAATAGATTAAAAACTTCTACATTTTCGAACCACCTTTAAAAATGGTGTATAAAATCTTAAGTTATATTTCGGTCCCCCATAAAATATTGCTAATTATTTGTACCTAGGTGTACTCCCAGATATTTTCCACCTCTGGCTTCCTGGCATCGGCACTGTAATTGTTATGGTTTGTCATGGGGCTGCGGATGGGATGGGCTCAGATCGGGAATGGGAATCGGGACTGTTCATGGGGTACACTCAAGACAAAATCGAGTTAATCCGTAACTAACCTAGCTCCCCATTAAAAGAAAACAAGTTTTTAGAATTTCAAAATAGTAATTATAATTGTCTGCATTTTAAGAACAATTGATTTTAAAATAAATTCTATATATTTTCTGGACTAAGGACACTTTTTTTTCAGTGCAGGCATGCCGCATGCGAATCAATTACATATTACAGCCGTCGCAGCGATTAACTGCAGTGACTTTAGAGAACTGTTCAACACTAACCTGTTCGAGCCGAGTCGATGCCGCTTTCATTAAAGTGCAAATTATGACTTGCCAGTTCCGCCAGGTGTGTGCCCGCCTGGCCTATTTGTCTTGAGTGGCCCGGCTTCGCTGGGAAAGAGCCACCGGGGCGTTTGGTTTAGGCCAAAGATGGGGCTCTGCCCTTTATGTATGAAGTTATCAACGCCGTCGTTCCAGATCCACATTATTTACCGCACTTGCAACATTAATTGCTACCTGCAGTTGTAAATGATTCGATGGCATTTCTTTTCCGTTTTATATAGATAAAAGTATAAAAAGAGAGGAACCATTAATTGAAACACCTATGGAAAATAACAACATTAATTGTATATTTAATAACATTTATTAAAAATAATATCCGTTCCATTCGGAAATTAAATATTATGGATTCAATCCAAATAGTTTCTTTTGGCTCAAATGAATGGTAAAATAAAAAGGCACATGACATCACTTCATTATCCGAAGAAAGCCTGAAAAGGTTACCCCTCTTACATTTTTTAAAGCTAATACTTCTGCTCTTTAAAGAACAATAAGGAACCAAATGTATCACATTTTCCAAAACAAATTACATGCACTTAATGCAGCGAATGTTTTCGATGAAGCAAAGGTTGTAGCCCTCAATCTCCAGCATCTGGTGCTGAATATCCTCTTCGATGTGCTTATAGGCCAGGTGCCAGCAACAGGAGCTGCTGCGCTTCATGTTTATAATGCTGCATATAAAGGACAATTAAATTGATTACGGAAATGAATACATGAGCATAAGATTAGGTAAATACCGGCACAAGTACTTCATCACATCGTACATGTGATTTAGCTTATCACTCCTGATCATTTTAGAGATCTGCTGGTGGATAATCTCAACGTCGGTTGGCTTGGGCACCTCCTCGCGGCTGACCCATTCGTTCAGCATGCTCTTGTAGTTGGGCCCCATCAGGATGTCGGGCACTTCGTTCTCGGGCCGGGAAATGTACTCCAGAATTGTGGGATGCATGTACTTGGCCAGTGAACCGATATAGTCCGCCACAACCTGATCTGGTTGGATGCAATGCGCCTGTTCATTACGATCCTTACGCTTTCGCATACGTGCCACAGCTGCCCGGGAAGTAGAAGGTTTAAGATCGCTGGCGCTTAGGGGACTCACATTGGGTGAACGGCTGCGTTTCATCAAAGGCGGTGATGAAGGCGACACAAATTGGAAAGGTACTGCTTTCTTGACAGCATGTTCATCCATTTCCAGATACTCATCTTTATGGGCAAGCACCTCGAGGCGTATATCCTCTGGCAGCTGGGCCAGAATATCCTCATCAAACTCAGGATTACTGGGCTTAGCAGGTTCATTTCGAACTTTATCCCCATTTAGCTTTTTCTTCCCCGCCGCTGCTGCCGTGAGCATGCTCATCACGTTCATGGACTCCCGGGGCTTGACTTCATCCACTGGTGGCTTATCTGCAGAAGGTTGAAAACCTTTATCATCGTTTAAAGACTTTCTGCCCACTGTTGCCGCCGTCAACATGGTCATCACATTAGTGAGTTCCCGGGGTATTGGTTTAGGTTCAGTAGATGGTTTCTCCACCACAGGTTTATCTAAAGGTAATGCAGGCCGTATATTAGTATAACCCTTCGCTAGGCAGAGTACAATGGAATTGAATACCTTTCTTCATCTCTGACAACTTGACAAACATCTGCTTGAGGACGTTGTCCTTCCGAACTTCGTTGGCATCCTCCAGCTTGGTCAGGTGTATGCCAATACCACGCAGCTCGTGGGGCGGGAGATCAGCTTCTTTCATTAGGTTGAGGACTTGCGAGGTGATTACATTCACATCATCCGTGGCATGCTTAATCATTGAGGACTTGTTGATGGTATCGCAGACTCCGTGGCCCATGTACTTGGAGGTTTCGACTGGCGCCTCGGCAGCACGCACCATGATCTTTAGATTAATGGACTTCGCCTTGCGCTTGATCTCAATCAGACGCTTCGTAACCTCGTCGCTGAGCTGCCGTAGAAATTGTTCACACTCGGCCGAATTTGTGAAGCGAATGCCAAAGTTCATCTCGGCAGAAACCGTTTTGCGGGTCTAAAAGGAAAGTAATTTGCTTCAATATAAATATGATTACACAAAAGCAGTGCCCAGGCCAACCTGCTCATAGGCCAAGGGGCGGTCATCAATTCCTCTGCAGTTCTGGAATAAATTCTGACCGAGCTTTTTGCCCAGCACCGATTCCAGCTTCTCCACTGAAGTGTTTTGAACGTCTTCACAATTATGCAGCCCCGCCTGCTTAAGTTTGTAGCTCATGCTGCTGCCCACTCCTGGCAGTGATTCCAGAGCCATGGGCGCCATATAGGCCAATATGTCCTGCTTGGAATCTAGCAAGAACTGGCCGTTCGGCTTGGCCTCCTTGGTGGCCATGCGGGCCAGCAATCTAAAAGGATGCGCGTTTTTATTAAACATTTTTTAAACAGTAATTCACTACCCACTTATTGCCTGCCACTCCCGCTGAACACGGGCATCCCGTCTTGGTGTGCACCTCGTGCCTTAGATGCCCGACGAAAGCCATCACGTCCACGCCTAGGTCGTTTACCAAATCGGTTAGTTCCACGAACATCTCGTCGCAACTCACAGCCTCGATGTTCAATGTATACTGAGCCACTGTGTCGTACAGAGTGCTGGCCACCTCCTTGTAGCCTTCGAAATCGTACGGGATCGTCTTAAGCTCCGGACAGAGCTTCAGGGCCTGGCCCACGAACATGCCATTGCGGATGCCCTTTGCGCGAGCCTCGTAGCTGCAGGAGGCGATCTCCGAGAGCGACATCTTCTTGTCAAAGCCCGAGCGCACTTTTTCCGCCTTGTCTCCATCGTGCAAGTGTTTCTCAAAGCGCTGGGCGAAGAGCTCCATTTCGACCTTTCTGTCCGCCTGCGGGTGCACGGGCACATCGGTGGCTGCACTGGCCGCTTTCGAATGGGTCACTGCAATGGGCCATCCTCGGAGCTCAGGACGGGATCTCAAGCCCACGGAGACAAAGAAGCAGTCCATGTCGATGTGCATTACATAGCGATCAGAACCGATGCGTTGGCATTTCTCGAGGGACTGTAGAAGCTCCCTTTTTGGAAAACCCTTGGAGCCATGATCCTGACGCAACTGACAGACATATTGCTTGAAGCCAGCTCCCAGGGTAGCAATGTGGTGCAGTCGGGAGTTCTTGTAGAACTCACTGAGAAAGTTTGGATCTGCGGCGGTACGGGCAGCAGTGGAAGTATTCGACGTGGTGGATAAGTTGGTGATCTTGGACTCGGACAGACTGGCCTCTTTTTCCGGCGATGTGGCCACCACCTGCTGCAGCTCCTTCAGAATCCCTCCCAGATTTGTTTGCAGTTCATCCTTGGGGGGATCCACCTCCATTTTGCTCTCATTTACACTGCTGTTGCTGGTTTTTCCAAAGTTGAGCCTGGGCTGCGAGGTTTTCTGGTTGGTGTACAGCAAATATGGCTTGTAGTCCAATATCTTCCCGTTCTCCAGGCAATCCACCACCCACTTGGCGCTGATGTACTTGCTGAGATTCATGTTCCTGACCTTGACATCCGGCACAACGGAGGCGATTGTAAACGTCGTGTGACTCCGTTCGTAGTGGTGGAAGGTCCCTCCGTGCACCATCATGATCCGCTTTAGTTCATCTGCCGACGGGTTGGTCAGGCCGTTAACAAAGATGGAAATTCCCTGAAACAAGTCGGTCTTGCGAAATGGGTCGCTGGCTGCTGCAAATTGCTCCTCCAATTTGGATTTCTTGGCCTCGAAGTAGCCGCCCTGGAAAGGAGCGTTAAGGTATGTGTTTTGCACTTTCAATATAGCCTTACCCATTCACTGAAACCATTATCGTCGTCACGCACCATTGTAGAACTTGTTAAATCATTTAATAAGCTTTAAACCAATTTAATTTCACAAATCCAATGCCGCGCCGCTCAGCTGTCACTTTTGCACTTTTTGGCGCCAGTCTGGCAACTCTCGATCTAGACGGCGCTACCCAACACTCTCGATTGGTTTTGCGATATCGATAGCAGCGTTCCTTGTGTTGGTCTATCGTTGTGCGATATATTTTGTTTATTTTATAAGAATTAAGCAAAATGTGGAAATACGGGCAAAATCAAGGTAACCAGGGCCCAGCGGGCGCCGGCGGAGGAGGCGGTGGCCCCAACATGATGCCCATGGGCGGATTCGGAATGCAGCACGGCAATATGCAGCAGATGCACATGTCGCCGCAGCACCAGCAGCAGCAACAACAAATGGGCATGATGGTAAGGATTATATTCATTGTTAGCTTTAAGCGGGATTGTATCGCAAGTGTGTTCTCCCGAAGACCTTAAAAATGGTATGGCTTGTAACACAATTCAATTTTCTCATGCAGATGAATCCCCAAGGACCTGGAGGTCCTGGCGGCCTAATGCCCGGCATGTCGCCGCAACACCAAATGCAACAGCAGCAGATGATGCACCAGCAACAGATGATAATGCCCCAGCAAGGAGTGGGCGTTGGAGTGGGAATGGGCGGCGGAGTGGGAATGGGAGGCGGAGGGGGCGTGGTGCCCCAACAGCAGCAGCAGCAGCCCCAACAAAATATGCCCCAGCAACCAAACATTCCCCAACAGCAGCAGCAGCAACTCAATCCCGGTGGCGGTGGAATTCCTCCTGGCGGCGCCGGGGGCAACAACAATATGCTCGCCATCTCCCAGCAAAATCCCCACAAGGAGATCAACATTGTACAGCTTTCCCGTCTGGGCCAGGAAACAGTGCAGGACATCGCCTCGCGCTTCCAGGAGGTCTTCGCATCCCTCAAGAACATTCAGCCCACTTCGCACAGGGACAACAGCGCCGAGAAGAAGGTGCAGGAGTACTTCCGCACCATCAGGCTGCTCTTCAAGAGGGTCCGCATCATCTACGAGAAGTGCAACGACGCCGGTATGGATTACATGAGCGCCGAGAGCCTGATCCCCTACCGCGATGAGCCGGAACCGAGAATCGAGCCGTCGCAGTGCGATGAGTACCGAAAAGTCCTGCAGGAGAACCACGAACTTATAGAGACCGTGAAGCTCAAGAATAGACAGCTGCGCGAGATCATCGATAGGACACGCATCATCATCTGGGAGATCAACACTATGCTAGCCATGCGGCGCTCCTAGGCTTACGGATTCTAGATATGTATTAACACTTAAATAAAACTGCGAAACATTGCCAGCAAGGAATGGTAAAATCTTTTACTTGGTGTTTTTGTGTTTAAAGTGAGAGCCCAGAGATCTTGAGAACTGTTCATAACAGCTTCAAAGATGTTCCCTGATCTGAAATTATTAGTATAATAATTCTAATTCAAAATGTATTACGGATAAAGTTTCAGCTGGGAAATTGAATTCAAAAAGTGCGGGAAGCGGTTCCATAACAATCGCATCCCTGCTGCGAACTATCGAAACCAAGCCATCGATAAATGGCTGCGAGGAAGAAGCAGAGTTTGTTGTGGGCGACAGCGAGATTTTAACACCTAATTGACGAGATTTAAAGAAACTAACTATAATTTAGCGAATCACAGTCAATCAAAACATCGGCAGACATGGCGAAAATGGCATTTCAGCACCAGGCCGGCACGGCGATGGAGTGTTTGAGTGTGAGTTGTGAATGACTGAAACCTGGCTCACACGCACACGGGCCTGTGCGTGTGTGTTGGTGAAATTGGGTCGCTGGAGCAAACAAAAAAATAGAAGCCACTTTCATATTTCAACTCGTACTCCACCTTACAATCCACAGATTCCCATCACGCTGCACAAGGAGAAGGACTACGACCAGGAGGGACGCGAGATTCTCAAGTGCGGCTTTAAGATCGGCGGGGGAATCGACCAGGACTACAAGAAGAGTCCCCAAGGATACACGGATTATGTGAGAAGATGCTAGGAAAACAGGCTTGAAGGCACACAGTTTATTTAATGTACTTCCTCTTCTAAAACAGGGCATCTATGTGACCGAGGTTCACGAGGGCAGTCCCGCCGCTCGAGCCGGTCTGCGGATCCACGACAAGATCCTCCAGTGCAATGGCTACGACTTCACCATGGTCACGCACAAAAAGGCCGTGAGCTACATCCGGAAAAACCCCATACTCAACATGCTGGTGGCTCGCAAGGGCGTGACCTCCACATAAGTGGTCCTCGGAGCAGGGTCTCCACTGACTCCAGCAGTATTGAAGCGGCATTTACACTAACCCTCCACCGCCTCTCCTGGCCAAGGATCTCTTTGCCCTTGCAACCTATCCGACTACTTAGACATACCTTATTATATATATATATTCATAACTTATGCATATCGCACACACATGTAGCCAGCCGTAAATGTAGCACCTAGTATTGCTTCTTGTTGACTTCGATTTCGGTTTCCCTGCCTTCCCATCACTTGTTGAACGAATCGCCAAGCTCCCGAGCATAGAACAGATTGCCAAATACCGATATAAACAAACAGTTCCGCAGACATCAGACTCGAATATAAACAATTTTGTACTTTTATATGTGCAGACCATTCCAAAAAGCAAACCGAAGCAAATGACGAACGCAGAGTTGTTGAAACAAACATACATTCATAGTACATACTTGTGATAAATGACTTTAACTGTGCAGATATGTGCGAAGAAAGCGCATCACCTAAGTTTTAAAATTGAGTTTTTAATGTTAAATTGCATTTGAATAAATGTTTGCTAAATAAATGTGCGAAATAGATGTCTTATTAAAGGGGGTTTAGATTAGTTATATTAGATTCGCCACTATAGATTAAGATCAGACTTTTATAGTTATGTTTACCGGGTCCAACTTGCCCTACTACTAAGCGAAATCTCCCAGTGCTTACCTTGGCTGCGACCTTAATTGCAACCAGCGGTCACCAAACAACGTCAATGGGCAGAAAATTACATGACAACAGCTAAAAGCCTTTTTTAATTACAAAGTACTTTGGATTTACATACACACACTTGCACACATCGAAAAGAGGGGATACTAGACGAAATTTGGAAAGAAATATACACAACTAGAGGCAAATAGAAATTGCTACCTGAGCCATCATCAGGAACTTGCAGAGGGGCAGGAACGGGGAGACTACTCTACTTATCGGCATACCCATTGGGGTTTTGGCTCTGCCAGCGCCACGTGTCCTCGCACATCTTGTCGATGCCCCGCACGGCCTTCCAGCCCAGCTTATGAGCCGCCAGCGAGGCGTCCGCATAGCAGGTGGCCACATCCCCGGAGCGTCGGTCCACCAGCGTGTAGTTGACCTTCTTGCCGGAGGCCTTCTCGAACGCCTTCACCATGTCCAGCACCGAGTAGCCCACGCCGGTGCCCAAGTTGTAGGCGAAGAAGCCCGTCTCCGCGATGTTGCGCAGCTTGTCCAGCGCCTGCACATGTCCCTCGGCCAGGTCCACGATGTGGATGTAGTCGCGCACTCCGGTGCCGTCGTGCGTGGGAAAGTCGCTGCCGTAGACGCTCAGGCTGGGACGCCGGCCCACAGCCACCTGGGCGATGTAGGGCATCAAGTTGTTGGGCTCGCCGTTCGGATCCTCGCCAATCCGCCCGCTGATGTGGGCACCCACCGGGTTGAAGTAGCGCAGCGAGACCACGGCCCAACGCTAAGGAGGTATTGTTAGTGGTATTCCAAAGCAGAGATGGAAAAGGACAGCCCACCTTGTCTGACTTGCACAGATCCTTGAGAATCTCCTCGGTGAAGTATTTGGTCTTGCCGTACGGCGATGTGCAGTTGCCCGTGGGGTGCTCCTCGGTCACGGGCAGAAACTTGGGCTCTCCGTAGACGGTGGCACTGGAGCTGTACACGAACTTGAACACGTTGTTGTCGGCCATCGCCTCCAGCAGGACATTGGTGCCGGTCATGTTGTTGTGGTAGTACTGCAGGGGAATGCGGCAGGACTCGCCAACGGCCTTCAGGGCGGCAAAGTGGGCCACCATGTCGATTTTGTGCTGTACAGGAAAAATAATTGATTAGTAATAATACATTAAATATTTTTGCAACTGATTATAGTTAATTAGTTTGTCAACGACCCAACGAAGGTTATAGAATAGCAAATAAATATTTTATAAATAGCCGAGTTGATTAGGAAGAATTCCACTATGACAAATGCTGCAAAATCTATTCAGTAATCAGTACGCGTAAACACATATATGCATTTACTCCGTTGTGACGCCTAAACTTTTTGTCTAAAAATATGAAAATCGTTAAGTATGAGCATAAGCTTTGGGCTCGCACAAAGCTCACAGATATTTCATGGCTGTTTGGGCAATAACATGTTTTTTTAATGCTTCAACAAGTATAAATAAACCTTATTGAAATGGAAAACTGACTGCAGCTAAAGAAAAACCCCCTTTTAGCGAGAATCTTGTGTACTAAGTACGTGAAAACATGCCTAGATTAGCGAATTCCTATGGCAATGAGTGCATGTAAACATGGTAATCTAATTTTTTGACCTCATCCCATATTTTAGAGTGCAGCGTACGTGCCCGGGAGCCACTGTGGATGTGGATGCCAGCGCACCAAGTCGATGCCGACCTCGCCAAGTGGGTCTCTTCCGCTCAGGGTCGATTCGTCGGAAGTGCCCGACCACTTGAGCAAACAAACAAGCGCAATCGAGAAAAAGCTGATAGCGCGCATGCCAGATAAGGCTGATTGAATGGTATCCAGTTGGCACTTATGTGCGCATGTAGAACCCCCGAACTGCTGACGTGCCCGTCACCACTTGCTCACCTCCTGGAAGACGGAGCGCACTTGCTCCCGGTCCGTGATGTCCACGCGGTAGAAGTTGACCTTCTTGCCGGTGATCTCCTGCACCCGGCTCAAGGCCTCCGGCAGCTTGGCCCCGCTGCTGTAGGCGTTGCACAGGTTGTCCACGCAGATGACGTTGTAGCCCGCGTTGAGCATCTCCAGGACCGTGTGGGAGCCGATGTAGCCGGCTCCTCCGGTGACCAGAACGGTGGGTGGGGCCATCCTGTGGCGGGGAAGGGGAAAAACACGCAAAATTAGGCCACACGAGCGCGGAATTCTCATTGACGTCACCAAAAACGTTCTGCAGGCGTGCCATTGGCAAAAAAAACGCCTCACTCACCTGTTTTACAGGTGATTATGGTAGAGATGCCCCGAGCGGTGATTCAGATACAGATTGGCCAGACGGGCAGTGTGTGCCCTTGAGACTTCAACGATTTAGATGCCGTTGCCTAAAACGCCGCTGAACGGAGGCCTCCGTGGGGATTGCAGATGGAGAAGATGTTGATGCCAAAGATCGCTGACCGTTGAGTGTTAACGCTAGCGCTTCCTAACCCGTTTCTCGCACTCGCTCACTCAGCTGTTTCCTCGCACGTCTGTTTTGATCCGCGGTCGCTTGCCAAATGAGCGCTTGGAGAGCCCCACATAGCCTATTTAGCTTTTAACTTGTTCTCGCTTCTCCGAGTCGTGCTTCTTATCAGTTTCGAGCGGCAGGTTGGGTGCTCCAATGTCACTCCGTTTCGAGTGCTAGCTGCAGGCTGGCTGGGTCTGCGGGCGGGCGGGGTCGCCCTCGAAGTGCATCCTTATCGCCGCTGACCTTTGGCTTCCGATTCCAAGCCCGTTTATGCAATTTGCAAGTGCTCTTCCCTCGCTCTCTTCGCTGAAAAATAGGTAAACAAAGGCGCGGCGTTGCCACTCCGCGCCGCTCGCAGGCGCTGCCACATCCGCCCACTTTGTCGAGTGGTAACGATTTTTATGTAAAGTATTTGACCAAACTATTTTCCGCGTTCCGGCAACACTGGCAATGGCTTGTCTACATTTACATGTAGACAATTTGTCTACATTCCATTGCTCTTTTAACGGAACATTTATTCAAAATTGAATTTTAAATTTAAATTTAATCTAAGAATGGATTTTCGAGACAAATCCGTATTTTCAAGCCATGCAAATAAACTAAAGTTGTCAAAAAAGTAGGTATCCGCTATTTGGTGACCCAAATTCCTATCAAACTTTAAATGATAGGCGAAAGTGCACGTGCTTAATACGCCTTGAAAAATACCACAGTTTGTTTCATTTACAACTTAATTTAGAATGTATTTGCGCAGCTACGAGTCGCTCAATGAAGTGCCCCTGCTTTCGGTTCTGAATGAATGGAATGCATGAATGGATCGAAAGCTTTAGAGCTTTAACCCAGATTGGGTTTCCACAATCTTCAGTTGTTTTTGATCATCGTTAGATGGATCTATTGGGCAACTGCTAAACGTGGAAAACCTCTGCTATATATTGGGTATTTGATACAAATTTCTTTATTACAACCAATCCTCATCGTTGGGCAACACAATCGTTTATCATCAAGAAACGGATCGATTCTCAAACGCAGAAAAACACACTCGATAAGGCATGCCATATAAGGCGTACTACACAGGCATACTAAGGCACACACACAGACGGACAATTGAGGATCCGGCCGACACATAACCGGAAATGAGTTAGTTGAACTTCCGTCATCGCTCGCCTCTGGATGGCGCTGGCCTGCAATATTTTTATGTGAGCGACAATAATTTGCACAGTCACAGAAACAGAAATGGAAACAGAAATGGAAATGGAAAGAGAAAGACGGAGCGGAGAAGTCTCGAAGTGGAAGTGGTCGTTCCTACAGTTATGTACATAATATAGTGCGGTCTGGTCTACATAGAGGCAGTACGGCACACACTCAAGCTCCCAATCCAATCCAATCTGCGTACATATGACATTATGGGGCGAGCATTATGGTTATGGCATCGTAGCATTATCAGTTCAGTCCGAGAATCACGATTCTGGTGCTGGGCTGGTGGGGTTAAGGTTTTCGGGGGGTCTGGCCCGAAAGCTAAATTCGTATTTTTGAATTTTGTCGGGCGGGCGACCGGGCCTTAACAGAGATACAACAAAATCAGAAATACTGCATATGGTTGATCTAAAACTGAATTATTCAAGTACTATTTTGAAGTAACTGCAATGTTTGTAAAAAGGATTGTATTGTTAACTTTTAATTCCCACACTCCTTTAATTTCCCATGACACAGTGTACACGCATGGAACGAATAGAATTTACTTCGTTAGATTAAATGTAAATTTCGGTTATCCATCTTAATAAAACCAATTTTCCGCATTATTGTTTACGCCCGATAATCATCTGTGTTCTGAGTTCTGTGAGAAGGCCCACCCCACATATGACCGGCACTTCAATTTGATTTCGGGCGGGGAAAACGGGGAAATAGTGAAAGTGCTGCACTTTTCACATGGCCCTGATCCGACGGAGACCGACTTGGCCTGGGCCACCATAAATGCTTATCACAAATTAAGCAATTTATATTTCGTGGCGTTTTTCTTTTTTCGCCTGGCAGAACCCGCATGGCCCGACCGAAAGTTTTTCAATTCCTAAATTGAAGATATGGAAAATGGAATTTATAACGCACATATAATTAGCCAATTATCTAAAACTTCTCTAAGCGCG